AATAAAGCATTGCAATTAAGTTCCAACCCTCTTAAATAAATAAATATATAATGTGTCAGTTGTATGACATGTGATCTGTACTGTACTGGCTACCAGAAAGAGTCCCATCACTCTGCAAGTATACAACAGTTCTAAAACACAACACCAAGACACCTAATTTCAAAACATCACATGGGATGCAAATCTTGGGATCTCTTTTCTTAATTTACTGTAATAAACATGTTACATAAAAAAATGAAAGCTGACACTGTCCTATTAATAAAGTGCAGGCGAACCACACAAAGGGCAACTTGCCTTTTGTCTAAAGAAATTCCCTCTTCCTTTAGAGCTCTTTTAATATGCATCTTAGTATCCTACATTATCTTAACATTACAATATGAAGACTAGTTTTGTTCTGTTTCATTAACAGTGACTATATCTCAGTACTTATGGTTGCCAAGAAGCAAACTATCAATGTATTAGTGATGTTGGTGAGAAAACCTGGATTTGTGCTGGAAATGGCCCACCTGTTGATCATTTTAGATAAGCTATTACCAGCAGGACAGTGGGGTGGGAGGAGGTATTGTTTCATATTCTCTGTGTGTATATAAAGTCTGCTGCAGTTTCCACGGTAAACATCTGATGAAGTGAGCTGTAGCTCACGAAAGCTCATGCTCAAATAAATTGGTTAGTCTCTAAGGTGCCACAAGTACTCCTTTTCTTTTTGCGAATACAGACTAACACGGCTGTTCCTCTGAAAACTGCTCCCTCCCAGTCCTTTACTTACATAGGATTACTTATAATGCAGGATTGAAGATATCTGGCTTTCCTCTATTAGGCAAAATATTTAAGAACTGTCAAAAAGTCAACATTGCTCCCTTCCTGTTTCAACAGAATGAGTACATGTAACTTTCAAGTAAGTCTCAGACACCTGAATTATGCCTTTTAAGGAATAGCTTCTAAACCCAGGAATATGCAATCTGTTGGCATTTTTAAACATAAGTAAAAGTTTTACTTTATCAGTGCACTTGTCAAGGTAACAATTTTAAAATGAGTTTTGGTTAAGTCAGTACAGACCAACCCAGCTTATTTTCCGCTCATTGGTTGGCCGTTCTATGATTAGGTTTATTTTTTTAAAAATGGCTCCAAAACATGGAAACTAGAACTTTAGAAATAAATACATACAGATTTTTAGAAGTGCTACCAAAAAACTCACCCCTGCCACGTCCCCTGCCACCACCTCGGCCACCAGAAGAAGCACCTCTTCCACCTTTCTGTTGTTGCTGCTGCTGCTGCCTATACACTTCTTTGGGCTGTGCTACTTTGATCTCACACTGTAAAAAGGAAGACATTGTTTCAACTGTATGAAAGGACTGACCAGCACCATCAAAATAAACACTCTTATTCTCAGGAATCCATTTAAAAATCTATAAGAACCATCAACATTAGAACTTTCTAAAGAGAAACCAAAACATCCATCCATACCTTGCCAGAACCAATTTGATGGTATCGGCTTTCTAATAATTTTTTTACTGGCTCTTCATCTGTATATGTGATGAAACAAAAACCCCTCCTTTCATTTGTCTTTGTGTCCATGGGAAGTTCAATATTTTCAATCTGTAAACAAAGTTAAATATAAACCATATTTACATTACATCTCTCTCAAACACAGCAGTGGAAGTCAATGGTCAAAAGTTCATGCCAATAGCGGAAATGTAACGGGCTCTTTGAAAAATAAACCATCCCACCTCCATTTATAAACTATCAAAATATTACAGAGCTATTTATACGTTAATAGGGAACAGTTCAAACAGAACTCTGCTAGGCTAAGACTGCCCACCAGGGTCCCAAGTCGATCCTATTTATTCTACTGCAATATAATTTCTGCATCTTGTCCCAAGGAAGCAGCATTACAACTTGCAATTAACAAGGAAGCAGCCTTCTCACAATCACCCTCTTCACATCTCAAATCAGAGACTGCCCTTTCTTCATCCAACCTTACTACCCTGCCACAGCAAGACTGAACTTTAATGCCCAATATGGATATGACAGTATTAGAAACGCAGTTATACCATACCTCTCCAAAAGCACCAAAATATTCTTTAATTTGTTCTTCAGATGTATCTGGACTCAGTCCACCAACAAACACTTTTTTTGGTGGCTCTTTTCCCTTCAGTGCTTTTGCCCTTTTAGGATCAATTAACTTGCCATCCAGTTTGTGTTCCTTCAGCTCCAAGACCTAGAAAACCCACAGGACACAGTTTCAAAAAGCCATGAAAAAAACCAAATGCATACAAGAGCCAACTACACAGACCCTACATACCTTGTCAACACTGGCAGCATCTTTGAAGAGCACAAAGCCAAATCCCCTGGACCGCCCAGTCACTGGATCTGTTTTAATTGTGCAGTCCACAACTTCTCCAAACCGAGATAAATATTCTGTCAAGTCTTTCTTGCTTGTGTCCCAGCTGAGGCCTCCTATGAACATTTTACTACAACAGGAAAAAAGCATGTATTTTTTTAAGAGCAGAATATCTTACTAATCACTTCAAGTTTCAAAGAAACTTGAATACACAAGTGGTAGTTTTTCCAACAAGATCAGCATCATGAATTGAAAAGAAACCACTCTCAGTTCACTACACTGATTTTCAGGGCCTCAAAGCTGACCTTTACATAATTATACGCATGTTATAAAGTTCTCAGACCCCGATCCTGCAAAACACTTATGCGTGCGGTTAACTTTAATCCCATGAATCAAGTACACAGTAGTGAAATGGATCGTACCCATAAGCGTTTGCAGGGTAGGAGCTGGTAACGAAGTGACCCTTTGCTCGAATACTACCCAGGCACGAGATTTCGGGCTGCAACCTACCCGACTCGGCCCATCGCTAACGCACTCGGAGGCAATGGCTCAGCTCCTTCTGGCCCTAAACCCCGCAGGGCGCCCGAGAAGCTACCGCCCCGCTCCCCCCTAGACACGGTCAGCCAACGAGCTGCGTCCAGAGGCCCACCCGCGCGAGTCGGGAACGGGAGCAGCGTGGCATCGGCGCGCGCGCGCAGCTTGCCCCCCTACCCGCCCCAGGCAGCCCGCTCGCGCGCTGCCCCGCCTCCGATTGGCTCCCGGCTACGTCATGGCCCGGTGATTGACACCACCCCGCCCTACGGAAAACAGATCGACGGGGAGACACAAAGAGAGCGCGAAACGTGCCCAAACGGGACCCCCCCACGCCCGGCCGCAGGGATGGGGGCGGGAAGAGCGCAAGCGCCCCCCGGGCCGGGGCTACAGGGAAGGGACGCCCCGCACCGCCCGGCCCTTACCCATCGTCCTGCTGGTTCTTGCTGGCGTTGATCTTGGAGCCCTCGGCGAACTCCTCCAGGCCGCCGCTGTACTCGGTCATGTCCTCCATGGCGAGGGTAGGGCGGCTCGGGCAGGCTACGAGGGCTGGAGACTCGCTAGAAAGCTGCGACCAGAAAGCGGGACAATAAAATGGCGGCGGAAGAGATCCGGGCACCGCCTGCGCCGCCTTTATATACCCTTTCCAGCAGCCAATCAGCGCAGCCCGGCAGCGCAGGCGCGGTAGCGACTCCTGGAGCCCAGGCAGCAGGGTTGGGGCGGGTGCATTACCCCGTCTGATTTAGTAAGGCATGGGAAGAGCGCAGGCAATGGCGGCTGCACGTGGGCTTAGGTGACCCAGGAGGGGAAAGGGTGACACCCGTCATCCCGGCCTCCCCGCCCTGCAGGGCGTATGAGCACTCCTCTCCCTGGGATCCCCTCGGCATTACACTCATCATCTCCCTAGCAGGCTGCAGTGCCTGCCTGGGCATTGCCTGCCGGCCCTCTCATGGCCACCCTAATCCCTACACCCCCTTCGCCAGCTGCTGAGACTATTGCAAGGGGCTTCCAGGGCATAACGAGATTCCTGTGTGTACTCCAAAGACACACAAAGCTACCCTCCCCCAAAGAGAGAGCAGCGTGACATAGACCAACCCGCAAAGTCCGTGGAGAGATTCAATATTCCTTCTCCCCTGTATACAGAGAGGGAGGTGATAGATGAAGACAGGCCGCAAATTCCCCCAGGCGACTCGCCCTGCAGTTTAAACAGCCAAGCAATCTAGGCAGTCTCTCCCAGCCCGTCTTCATTATTGCGGTATCGGTCAGTGGGAGAGGGAAGCGGTTGTCTGCAGCTATGGCTTCCTGACGTTGCAGAAGCAGCTGCTTCCCCGCCTTTCAGATCCTACTGTCTGAAAAGGTGGAAGTACAAGTCATTATGCAACCCTCGCTGTATCTCTACACAGCTGTGCAACTGGGACCATGCAACCTAGAAATCTATTTAATGCACCAACCGCACCACTTCTGCCTAAGAGAAATGAAATCCACTAGGGAGGGATCTCCATAGGGCAGGAGAAATTCAGGACCAAGTTTAGACCTCGCATTTCCGTGAAGTGCCGTTTGCACCTGCAAAGCCAATTTGAACAAGAGCCGGGCCCTAGGTTGACGGGACAGGGTGTAGAGCAGGAGAATAAGTATGGAGGAGCGGCTCGGCTTTATATGATTGCGTAAGGCAGCCTTGAGTCATCTATACTACCTTACCCACAGGGTACCATGCATTTTATGCAACTCACCTTGTATTCTGCACTATGCACCCTATGGCTTGTGCCATGCACTTTATTTGCACCCTATGTACCAGGCACCCTACATACTGTCCCTTTCTCGAAGCAATGAGCCGCTCCCGCCCTCTGTTTACCGCACTCTACCGATCATGCCTAGGACATGCGCTAGGCAGCTTCGCACACTGCAACCCACACACATTCGCCCCCTCCTCGCCGCCACCCTCGCCCAGCAAGCGCATTATGACGGCCAAGCCCCGCCCTTCTTTTTCACCCGCCAATCACACGGCAGTCAGCCCCTGGGTTGGCGCAGCGGCGCCCCCTTCCACCCACGTGGTGCGCCTCCCTTCGCCGCTGCCCGGGCTGCGCGCTGGTTCCGCTGGCGGCGCGCGCTGCCCGCCCCTGCCCTGCCCTGCCCTGCCGCGCCGCGCCGCGGGCTGTCCGGCCGGCCGGGGGCGCGCGGCGCTGGCGGTGACGGTGCCGGCGGGTGGCCATGGTGGTGTTCGCGGTGCCTGCAGAAGTCGCTGTGATCCTGCTGGATATCGAAGGCACCACCACGCCGATTACCTATGTCAAGGTGAGCGCTCGCTGCGCGGGGAGACGGTGCCTGGCTCAGGCGCTGCGCCTGCAAAGCGAGGTGGGCGGCGGGCAGCGAGGAGCCAGCTGGCAAAATAGTCCTGAGGCCAGGCGGGTTCCTACAGGGTGGCGCTGGCTGGCATCAGAGCGGTGGGGTCTGCTTGCTTCGTGGGAGAGGTGAGCCCCTGCCAAGGCTGAAAAGCCCTTCATGGCTATCCTGCTGCTCCTGCTGAATCTTGCGAGGAGTGTGATGCTGGGCGGACTGGAGGCAGCTTTCCCACCCTTTGCCAATCAGAGCAGTTCTCTCTTGTTTTTTATTTTTCATCTTTTTTTTGCCTTGGCTGCTTGCATGGGTGGGGTCTGTCTCAAGGGTTCATTTATTTTGCAGCTCCACTGATCGTTGCCCTGAAACCATTCTATATCACTGACCTATCTACCCACGTTAAATTTAAATATAGAAACATTGAGAGACCACTACCTGTAGTCTATCCCTTACTTCTCACAGAACACCTACAGTTTAGGAATAACATCTTAATAAACTTTTACTATCCAGCCCCTGTTCTGCACCCTGCCACATAAATGCAGTTTGTCAAATGTGAGTAGATTACTTTGACTAGAGTGCTGCTAGCCTGCCACATCATCAGGTATTCAAGAAACCAGGTCATTTGTACATGCCTCAAACCCAGTCTTGTTTGCAAAGCTCTACTGTGGCTTAGCGCACAGAACACAAGTAGTGAATTGAAAATATGGCAGTGGTTTGGGGTAACTAGTATGGAATTCCTACACAGCTGGTGGACATGTACTTTAGTTTATCTGATTGAGTTTTTAATATACATTTTTGGATGTAGCATTAACCATAGGTCACTTTAAGAATGTTGTCACTTTGGATCACAGTTCTAGTTCAAGGTTACTCTGTGTGCTGCTCTGTCAAACTCTATCAGGCTAGTGCTCAGAACATAGATGTCTGCAAAAGAAATGAATTAAAAATGAAACAACCCTACTGAATATACAAGCCAAGATTTTTTCCTTGTTAGTTTGACTGCTGCTGGCATGCATTGACAACAACACAGTGATCAAAATTCTGATTTTACAGCTTAATTTGCCAGCAAATCAGGACCTCATAAAGGCAAAACAACAGTTTAGTTTTTCATAACTGTCCCAAAACAGCTAAATAAAACACACCGTTCCAAATGCAAAACAATTACAGACAAGTTAAAAATCCACCTTCTTATTCAGCAAAGAAAGGGCAGCACTTGCTTATTAGGGTTTTTAATATATCTTTATGCTGGTTTCAGCCAATCAATATATTGAGTGGTTCCTTTTTTTGTCCCAGGGCTGCTCGTCTCTGCTGTTTGTGAAGCTGGCCTTCATTACCAATCATAACTAAAATTAAATATAAGAAAATAAAATCAAGTTTCACTAGTCTTCTGACTGATTACCCCATCACCACCACCACCTTTCACCCACTGGCTTTCATGTAGGTCACTCTTTTAAGATAATATAGGTTTACATGTTGCTATTTTTGTTTTTACCATATACAACATTTTTCTTCTCTGTAATTATGATTTTGGTAGATCACTAATATACAAGGTCAAAACCTTGGGTCTTTGAAAGGAAACTAACTTTCTAAATCTTGCTTGTGGGGACTGTAGGCAGCAGCCTAGTCTTTATTAGGCCTGGTCTACACTTCCAAATTTTGCTGACATGGTTATGTTGGTTCTGGTTATGGGTATAGGTGTTCCTTACAACATAGGTACGCTGTCAAAGTAAACCCTCCTACTGGAGATGCAGTTACACTGGCAAAAGGCCTTTTTGGCTGGTATAACTGCATCAGCACAAGGATGATTTTGCTGGTATAGTTTAGTTTTTGAATGCTATTTTAACCACATTATGTTTTCTATGCATCAGGGCAAGAGTGTTCCAAGAGAAACATTTTAAAATGTATTTCTGAGCATGTTGGTGTGTGGTTTGTTTCTCTCTGCCTGTGGTGGTGTAGGAGAGGGTTTGAGTTGCATAGACCAGTGGGCCATGCCCTTCCTCACAAGAAGGTGCAAAAGACTAACCACAGGCTGGATCTTCAAGTAGTTCTCAAGTCTCAGCTTTCATTAAAAAACAAACCAACCTTCAGATGCTATTCAAATGTGACGTCCATGTGAATTTGTAGAGAGCCAATAGCTGAGATGTGAACTGCCTATTCATTTCAGTGTGTGCCAATGCAGATGTCAACAGTATAATTATGGGGTGGCATAAGGAGCTGATGATATATAAATTAAGATGTGTGGGCATTTAACAACACATGGAGGCCCCAAATTACTTCTTTTCCTTAAGGAGGCTCAGCTTTCAAAAATTTGGTAAATGTTGATTTGGCCCTAAACCAAATTATAATAGAATATGAGATCTCCCGTGTTTAGTTTGCCAGTTTTAAACCCTCAATGTTGTATGTCTCACAAACACTGAACAAGAGGTATTACTTTCGGGCCCACTGACGCTACAAATATAGCCATGTTTGTTTTATAACTGATTTGACACTCATCTGACCTGGTTACAAATGACAAATGCTGTTGTGTTCACACAACAGCTTTTTTCTTAACACAATCATTTTAGTGCATCCACACCATAGATGCTGGAACTGCGGGTGTAGAAGCACCCCCTGCCTTGAAATGGATTCCATTATATACAAGTTTCAGAGTAGCAGCCGTGTTAGTCTGTATCCGCAAAAAGAAAAGGAGTACTTGTGGCACCTTAGAGCTTTTGTGAGCTACAAGCTTATGCTCAAATAAATTTGTTAGTCTCTAAGGTGCCACAAGTACATCTTTTCATTATATACAGGGTTCACAGTTTGGCTCAACGTCCCTCAGCACCACCACTATAAAAATTGTTTCAGCACTCCTGGTCCACACCCACCATGTTACCTAATTGTGTTCGTATCAGTGCATTTTTGGAAAAGTGAGAGCCCTATCCCAGAATACCTCAGCCCAAAAGATATGTACACACAGCAGCACCATCCTGACATTGATCAATGCACTCTGGGAGTCCTACTGCACAGAGAGCTGGGAAGAAAGAGGGCCAGACAAATGTGTTACATGGATACAGTTAGGGTTCCCTGCCAGCTAAGCAAAACTGTTATGAACTGGTTACAGGAAGACCGTTCGTTCCAGCTTAGGCCATTGACAAGGGTAAAATATAGTTAGCTGCCACTGTTACTTGAGCTTGGTCTACACTTAAAAATTTTGTCTGCGTAGCTATGTTGGAGGGTGGGAAATCACACTTAACTGACATAGCTGAGCTGGCAAAAGCCACAGTGCAGACTCATGGCATGTCTACACTATAGACTTAAGTCATTATGTTAGGTCCACGTACAGCCCCCTCAGTAATTACTGATGTCCACGCTACCTCCTGTCAGTGGTGCACGTCCTCATCAGGAGCGCTTCCACCGACTGAAGAGGGACAGTGTGTGTGGGCTGAGAGCCAGGGCTCTCAGCTTCATGCAGCTCCCCACAGAGGCAACTGCCCAGGGCTTCTCACCTCTGTGGGGAGATCCGTGCCCAGAGTCCAGTCAAGCTGCCATGCTCTACACAGACACTATGTTGCCCAAACTACACCGGCTTAAGCTCTACGCCTCTCGTGGAGGTGGAGTTATTATGTTGGTGTAGTAGGGCACTTACATCTGCGGGAGCAAGGCTGTCGTGTAGAGACGGACATAGTTCCTTTGCCAGTATAAGCTGCATCTCTATTAGGAAGGTTTGCCGGTATAGTTATATGGGCAAACCCTTTCAAGTGTAGACAAGGCTATAGTACTAACTACGTGAAGTGTGTGCCCAACCTGTATCTACAGTTAACCAGGTACTAACGGGTTACAAACCCAGCTATGATCTGTTGCACAGGCAGGATGAAGGTAATAGTTCATACCGATTTCCTGAAGAATAGAATAGTGGAATCTTTTATAGAAATCGCTTCCTGAGAGGTAATTTTTATTGAATGAAACAAGAATTGCCCCCAACAAAGTTGCAGCCTTCTAGATTCAAGAAATGATATAGTGGGATCACTCTCAAGAAGTATAAAGCCGTTTCTTCCTCATTCTGCCACTCATTCTTCTAGTTCTCCAGTTTTCCAAATCGTATCGTATCTTTGGCCTTAGACCATCAAATTTGCCGGTATTACTTTAAAATGGTATATTTTCTTGGCTACTGCTTGTATTTTTAAAATTGAATAAATCTGCCATATGAAGTACGCTTTGGCTCTAATAAAGCTTCCTTTAATGGCTTTATTATGTTAATTATTGCAATATGGCACACACTACTCATTTTCCTCAAAGAAACTTCTAAGCTGCATCTCTTTGCAACTTTAAGAATGGTTGCCACTAATCACTTACTCAGTTCCCTTCCTTTCCACTTCACTGATTAATTTATAGCTGGTCACTAAACAGTTGCAAGAAGATTTTTTTCTGGCTTCAATTGGATTCTCCAAAGAGGATTTTATAATAGAGTATAAATGGCTTACTCTTAGATATGTCCCATCATAGACTTCCCATCTCCTTAGAGAATATATATATTCCTCTTGTGCTGTAATTTCAGCAGATGATATAATTAATCTCATTCCACTTCCATCGCTTAATTCACCGAACTCTATTAATCTAGAGAGAGTTTTCTAATCTTCTCTCATATTAGAATCCCATTAGTAAGGAGCTGAGCATTTCAGCATGCTTAGGGATTTAGAATTTTTGCGTGTCCTAGGGCAGGGTTGTCAGACTCATCCTCTGCAGAGGGCTGACCTCAAATTTTAAATTATGGTTCATGGGGCATGGTATGAATTTGGGATTGTGCGCTATCCTCCACCCACAGCAGAACTTTCATTGATGTTATGGGAGGTTTGCATAAAGATCAAGGGTAGAATTTGCTCTTTATGTAATAACTAAGCCTCTGATTTTAGCATTTTGTTTCTACTTTTGTTGTCCCATTCAATTGGAAGATATTCTCAATTTTAGGATCACTGCTAGTTTTGAGTTCTTTTTCTCTCCCCTCCAAGTCTGTTCTGTCACTCTCTTAATATGTTGTCTTCATTCCCTTCCCTGCAACTAACCTGAGTTCCCAACCCCTTGAGCGTCCTTCCAGCCCCTAGAATGATCAGCAATGAAATAATCAGTGCTAGCATTGATATGTTGCACTGGGCTTAAGGTAGCACCCCAATTGGATGAATGGGTGTGGGAGATCTATCATTTTTTCAGGCAGGCTGCAGAGTCAGGAAGACAAAACTGCAGTGGTCGATTTCGGTTTATATTTGGAAACCTTTCTTTTCAATCATAAGGGCTAGACACTTTTTTTAAAATGAGAGTTAAGATTTTGCATAATACAAAGATTGTCATGGGGGATGGATAAATATGTCAAGCCAGCTGCATTTTTGACACATCTGTCACAATGGATACATTTTATCCAGTTTTCCCTGTTGAATTTAAGTGGACATCAATTTGAAATCTAGTCACTTTCTAAAAATCAGATAAGTAGCTTCAGATATTACCCCTCACCAGATTCCCTTGCAAATTTTTGTTTCTAATATTTTTCTCTCCCCCTGCTGCATGGAAAAAAAACACAACAGGGGAAATTGACTAGACAAAAGTTCTGTCCATTACAAAGTATTTTCAAGGGCACAGAGTAATCAAACTGAAGTTTTTTTCTTTAATCTTTTTAGTTGTAGTAATCTTATAACAATAGTAGATAAAACAAATCAGACAAGCATTTTTTAATTGATAGTTTTTTTGTTTTGTTCTCAATTAAAACGTGAAAAGCTTCTTACTCACCTGGCTGTAAAGAGAATTTTGAGAGTATAATCCAATCCAATGTAGTCTCTAGATCATTGGCTCTCAACCTTTCCAGACTACTGTACCCCATTCAAGGGTCTGATTTGTCTTGTGTTCCCCAGGTTTCACCTCACTTAAAAACATACAAAATCGACATAAAATACAGATGTGTCACAGCACACTATGACTGAAAAATTGCTTACTTTCTCAATTTTACCATGTAATTATAAAATCAATTGGAATACAAATATTGTACTTACATTTCAGTGTATAGTCTATAAACAGTATAAACAAGTCATTGTCTGTATGCAATTTTAATTTGTACTACTTCACGAGTGCTTTTTATGTAGCCTGTTGTAAAACTAGGCAACTATCTAGATGCGTTCATGTACGAAGACCTCTGAGTACCCCCAAGGATACACGTACCACTGATCTAGATACTGTCTGACAAACAGATGCATTAAGAAATTAAGTCAACACTGAAGACTAGTAATAATTGTTTGAACAACATTGAAGGGGACATGCAGAGGAGGAAAAATAATGGATTTGGGCCCTCTTGTGCTGCTTTGATACATAAAGACCTAAAAAGTTTAGTATTTAAAATTTTAAAAATACTATTTAAAAAGTTCATTTCTTTACCACCACAAAAGACTCTCGATAGTGATTGGAGAATTACGGACATAACTTGAGCCTGAAAGCAGAGCAGTGGAGTTGGGAAGTTGTTTTTAGTCACAACGCTTCAGTGCTGTTATAATTCTAATGACTACAAAGCACTTTAGAGAAAGTTGCTTTAAAGATGCAGCACCCTCCCCATTCACAACAAACATCCCTGGCATGCTCCTCTCTCCTTGCATCATCACCCTGAGGTCTTCCAGCAAAATCAGGGCAGACCAGACTAGATTCAACATTCAACAGGCTGGAGCAGAGAGCTGGGCCAGCCCTACAGGACAGGAGCTGCTGCAGGGTGAGTGCAGAGCAGGCTCACATTCCAAACCCAGGGCAGAGAAAGTGTGGGGGGACCCAATTGCCACTGCACAGGGTCCCAAAATTCTTTAATCCATCACGGTACCCAGGTGTCTCAGAGCCACAGGTTGGTTGTTTGACACAAACATCACATAACTGAGATGTCACTTTCACCAGAACAAAATACAGTAGTCTGTCCAGCTGTTAGACTTTGTGTATTTAGATTATAATCTGACAGGGTGGGCACTTTTTTTGTTGTATGGTTATGCAGTGCCTAGCACAATGGGAATGAGACCTCTAGGTGCTACGCTACGGCAATACAAATAATAGTCTTTATGGTTTATTTGAGGTGTAATTGGTAGGATGACAGAGAAAGAAAAATGGTGGCAGTCAGTAAGGTATTTTCTTTAACAGCTAATGTTTGTAACAGGAAGGTGAAATAACTTAAACAGGGATAAACTTCCCAGCTCCATCCAAAGGCATGCTCTGCTTATCCCTGTAGTCCTGACTGGGGTCTGTTGGTGTTACTGTAATACACATGATTAGTGATAAGAAGGCTCGCTTGTGTTTCTGTTCTCCCTTAAGATTCCATATCATGGCTACAATTCTCCTCTCACATTTTTTCTAAGCTTGCTTTATTTCACTTAGAATTAGAAATACTGTCCAGCAGAGCTCAATTGAAAGCCTAAATATATGGCGATGTAAGACTTTCTTAAAAGACCGGTTTAAAAATACGTATAATTCTCTAGCTCAAATCACAAGTCAAATTTCATTTCTAGAATGGCCGAAGAGGAAGGGCCCCCTTCAAAACAGAAAAAAAAAATTCGTATAACTTGTTAGTTCTGAGTGTGTGAGCAGTCAGCCTTGAACTCCTGTGCTTAGGAGTTGAAAGTCATGTCGTGTTATTTGAAAGATCTTCTCTGGACGTGCACTAAGATGTCAAATGAGACATCTTTTCATTAGTACAGCTGAACTTCAACTGGTCCCCCTGCTAATATTAAGTGATTGCAGCTACATAAGCGCTTGTTTGGTAAATCTGTGTTCACTAGCTTGCTTAAGGGGGCACCATCAACTTGAAAAGAATCACATTTCTGCCAGAAAGCTTTGTACCCACTAGTACTAGAGTTACACGTAACACCTGAGATCACTACAAGAGAAGATGATCCGCGAGGGAAAAAAAAAATTATGCCTCTTTTCAGTTCATTTCCTTTGAGCATTTGACAGAACAGCTTGATTCTCTTTTCCCTTCTACAGTCAGCTACCCCATGGTGAAAAGACCCTTGTAAACATCAGCAAGAGATCAGAAAAAAATTATGCTTTTTTTACACTTTTGTTTAATTTGAGGACATACTGTTGGAAAGCAGCTCTATCAGAAATTGGATTTTTCAAAAAATTGACCAACTTCTCTTTTTGAAGTCTTTTCATTGTTGTTAATAATACATGTACATAATGCTTTCACTTGGTTTTCAATGACCTATCTACTTCTAAGCACTTATTCGGATAACCTTGAGCCACACAGCACTTTGTGGTTCTGTTGGGTTTCTCTATGCCATCAGGGTTGGTGTTTGTTTTGGTCATCGTTAACAATAGTTACTGAGCATTTCTGTCTGTTTCATAGAGTTTTAACTCTTCAGTAATGCCTACGGTACACACAGTAACTAATTTTTTTAATCATATGTGCAGTATCCCTGTAAGGGAAACTTACATGAGTGTAAGTGCGCAAGTTTAAAAATGAGTCCTGTGTGTTTGTGTTACCAGGACACACTATTTCCGTACATCAGAGATAATGTTAAAGAGTACCTGCGTATGCACTGGGAAGAGGAGGAGTGCCAGCAGGACATCAGCCTTTTGAGGAAACAGGTGAGTGATTGGAACCATGTTATATCTTGCCAGAGTTTACTTCCTGCGAAGGACTTCAGGTCACTCAGAGCTGTGGCTGTTTTTACTAATCGTATCTCATATTTGTGAAGTAGAAGGAGTTATCACTTGACTTTGAGGACAACTTCCCTTCTTTCTGAGCTTATTTGTTTTTGAACGTACAGAGTGCGTCTGTCCCTCCAATATTCCATGGATGTGTTTACCTAATGTACATATCTGCTGACAGACGCCAGCCATAAATAGATTCAAATCCCCGCTTCCAGGATGCAGTAATGTGAACACAAACTGAACACACATTTTCCATCGCCACTCCTTAAAATGCCACACTGGCTCTGTTGGGCCAACACAGGAGTAAGGTCCAGAGACTAGAGTCATCCACTGAGAGTCAGGGATGTTCAGATAGTACTGCGAAGGGTACAGTATAAAAACCTACATAGGTAGAATCCCCTGCCTCAGGTTCCAAGATGTTTAAATTCAAGGGCTGTTTAGCTGATCTCTGTCACAACAATTCACTGGTGGAGATTCAGTCTTCACCTCTGAAATTCAACTGTACTGGAGCAGAACAGGAAGCCCAGCATAATTCTAATCAGAGGCTGGGTGCTGTGAATCTGTTCTTGCTGAGAGCATTCTTTCTGAAAGCTCTTTGTGGTGATCTGGCTATATATTTAGCAGCTGATCTAAACAGATAAATTAAAGGACTTATTTTGAAGGGTGCTGGGCACGCTGGCTCTGATCCAGTAAAGTTTAAGCACAGGAGTAGTCCCATGATGGGACTTCTCATGTGCTAAAAGTTAAGCATGCGTTTAAGTGCTTTGCTGAATTGGGATCAGAGTGCTCAGCGCTTAGTTCTGCTAGGACTCGATCCTGCGACCTTCCATTTGCAGCTGGATATGATGCTCAAGTCAGAAAACCTACCTCTATATCTAAGGTCACAGGGGAAATCAGTAACAGAGCTGAGATCTGACCCCAGGAGTTCCTGGCTCCTGGTCCTGTGCTTTGACCACTAGACAAGACTTCTCTCTCAAATATGTTACAGGGAGCACATAAATAGAATATTAACATCTGTTTTTCCAGGACCAACTTTTTAGGGGTTTTTTTGTTTTGTTTTTTAAATGGTAGTGGTTAAATGTAGAATCTGAATGTATTCCCCACTATCCTGTAACTATTTAAAATCTAGTTTGAGGCTTTATCTATGAAACTTCTATTTAAATATACAGAGTCTTTATGCCACATTTAATGCCTTCCCTTATTTTATTAAATGAATCTTGGAGAGAACTGTATACTTCCCAAAAATCATTGTGGTAAGACTCATTTATATTTAGGATTAAAGCAGTGTTGAAAGCGTTTAATGTGCTGTTCAAATGGTAAGTATTGGGTTTTTTTGAGAACCCATGTTTTTATGGATTCAGGAAATCTGAGTTTACATAGCTGGTTAATGTAGGATTTAGGTGAAGCCATTTTATTCTAGTTCTTTGTAGGTGTATGTTGAAATTTGTCCAGCTGGGACAATATCTTCTAGATAAAAAAAGGGCTCCATATTTAAATGTAAGACCAAGATGTTTAACTAACGTCCAAATGGTTTTGGTCAGTCAGTTATAAATACTTGGGGCCTTTATTTCACATTTTAAAAAAAGAATGTGAGTTAAATTTAAGTGTTTGAACTTAACTTATGTCCAGCCTTATGTAGTAGGGTAACCAGTGATCAAATTAGGTTAGTGTAGTTTACAATTAAAGTGCATGCTTCTGGACCCCAATTCTGGTAAAAGTCCCTATTCAGGAAAGCTGTTAAGCACCTGAGTAAGCCCGATTGACTTCATGTGTGTAAAATTAAGGATGTGTTCCATGTGCTGCCCTGAATAGGGATGGACTTATGTTCAACTGGTTTCCTGAATCGGGGCCCTATTTAGCAGTCTTGGGTCACCTTTTTTGTTCTTAATTTCAAGGCTGAAGAGGATTCCAACGTGGATGGCGTTGTGCCTATTCCTTTAGAAACTGGAAATGGAGAAGATGAAGTGGAACAGGTCATCCAGGCTGTAGTAGACAATGTGCACTGGCAGATGTCCCTGGACAGAAAGACCACAGCATTGAAACAGCTGCAGGGTCACATGTGGAGGGCAGCCTATGCAACTGGACACATGAAGGGAGAGTAAGTAACTCCTGTTCCTGAAAGTTTCCTTGAAGTAGATCTTTTATATTTTGCTGAGCTAAGTTTCTTGGGCATACGTTGGAGCCAAGTAGTTACATAGTGGCTGGAAGGTGACCGGTCATAGCAGTGTAGTGCTGTATAAAAATGTAATCCGATTACTTCTTAGCTGAACTTCTTAGCTGAGCCCAAGCACTATCATGGAACCAAGACCAAGTTCAGCCAGTCTCACCTTTCACCTTGAATGCACAATGCAAAACTAATCCATGATTTGTGGTTGATTTTACCCATGGGATCTAGGGAGCAATATTGTAAAATGACTTTGGGAAATTGTAAGACCCTGGGATTCAGTTTAGTTTACTGTAGTCATCCCAATGAGTAATGGGAAAACTTGAGGGGCAAAGGAGTGTGATTTCCCCCCCCCCCCCCCCCCAGCCTGTATAAAATGATCACTATATTCAGCAGGTATGTGCTTGCACATTTGAGCACTTTGCTGCTATCGTCACCAGTAAACTGGCACCAAGGCAAGATGGCAAACACTAACTCACAGGCTCTATGGGAAAAGACAGAACTTGAGAAATAGGAACTTGAGAATACACATCGTGAGGAAACTGGAGCGAGCAATTCTGCTCAAGTGATTGAGGGCTCTCTCGTTATGTTAGCGAAATATATGTATCCTATTATTCAGCTGGTAAAACTGACTCATTCATTTAGCAAGGGAGATCGAAAGCACAAGTTGGTAATTCTCAGTTTAGAGAACAGCCCTCCTTATTTCAAATCATTTATCCAACAGTTACAATTAATTCTGGGACAAGGTGGATAGACAAACCTAAACAAGAAATTGGAGAGGAGTTGAGGGAGAGCACGAAAAGTGAGATGAACTCCCTTCTGTCTTTGGGACAGGTACTTTCATTCCTAGGCATCTCACAGTTGCTGAGAGTGGAATAGCAAATCAAGCTCTCCACATCTCCACTGATACCTGGGGGGGTTTTCAGCAAACGGTGAGGTGGCTAAAATATTGTGAAGTTCTGCGGAGAATCAGGATAACCATTCAGTTGAAGTCCAGTATAGATATTTGACTATGCTTAGTGGTTCAATTCCATGGCTGAGTGAGAATGACCAGTCTCTAGGTGTTTTGGGTGTTCCTTGCACAGAGAAGAGAGAAGGGAAATAGAGAACTTGGGGAAAGGTAGAAGACAAAGGAAAAGTACTGTAGTAAAAAGGAGGAAGGGAAGCAGGAAGAAACTGATCAAATCTGTAAAAACATTGGGATGGTTTACAAAGGAAGAAAACCCATTCATGCTGTAGAGCGCATAAACAGCTATCAGCCTTTGTTTCGGTACAGTCAGCTAATAAACACTTGCATTCAGGATCATGCTGAAAACTGGCTTTTGTCTGCCAAGGTAAAGGCTAGGAACAACAACCCACAAAGGAGCCGTTGGGGAGCAGACACTCACACCTTGCACACAGCCACCTCGTCCCCCGTCGCGTTAGCAGCTGAAGTGAAGCGCCAGTATAGGCGGGTAGCACACGTACAAAACTTGTCAATGCGCAACTGAATGCTTACGAGAATTGTCAGAGGGGCGCTGAAGCAAACACCCACAGTCTGGCTCCAGTCCTTACACCTCTCTTATCACCATCCCTCCAAAGAAAAGCAGCAATAATAGGAGAATATGACCATGGGATAATGAACCCAGACTTGCCCATCTGCTCTCGAAACCGTCGCCCAACAACAAGCAATGGAGGCTGTGGGAAAGCAGCGTGAGTAGAAAAACGAGCCCTAATCACAGATCTACAGACCAACCACCTGGGTTCACCATGCCACATAAGATACGAGTCACAGCAAACCACATCAAAACCTTACACGGGCAATGCAATTACTTACTTCACAAATGGAAAATGGACAGCCTGATACACAAATGTGGAGAAAACACCCAAACCATGAAACATCTAGTGAGCCGCTGCCCTCTAAGAGCCTTTTCTACAGGGACACCTTGATTCATTCCATGGCACTGGAAGCTAATAGAGTGGATGACAAACTTGGACATCGACCTTTAATGTTGCTTTTCAAGTGGCCATATGAAAGAAGAGGACTTATTTTTGGAATCTTAAAATTTGAGCTTTGTCTCTTCGTGGCAGCTAGGGCCTTGGGTCAGTTCCCCAGAATATCCCCTCTTCCTCTAACCAAACCTGGCACATCACAATTCAAGACGCAGGAATTAAGCTTGGCAAACAAAAGCATGAGAGGGGCAAGTTCCTATCAGAATATGCTCTGTTTTTGAATTTTTTTGGTTAACTGGTACCAACGTTGAAGTTGCTGTACTTGAATGTCTTCTAAATAACCAGCAAACGTTGTATATAAACCCTCAAGTCATGTGGCATATTGAGCGCATGGTAGCAAAGAACTGGGGAAGAAGAGGACGCCACACTACTGTTCATGTAGTGTAAACAAATGTTCAGAAGGAAAGCGTATTCCTTTATGTCAGCTCAAAGTCCCCTATTTCTTCAGATACCCAGCTCCCATTCCTGGGTCTGATATTGCACTGTCTCGCATGCTGGGCAGTTGTTTACACCTGTACAGTGTGGCTGGCAAATGCTGCCATTCTGACGCGGTGGCATTTTACACCCCCACTGCACAGGTATAAAACCACTCCAAACGTGGCTGCAAAGATCACTTTCCTTGCTCGTTGCTTCCACTAAACCATGCTGCTCTGTGTCCCCCTCCCCTGGCTTGCCTCCTTCACCCCATCAAACAAACACTACTTGTCTTCATTTTTAAGGGCCTTTCTGGCCCACCCCTGCTCTCTCTAGGATCTCCCATACGCTATCAAGCTGTTGACCCCACTCTGCCAGTAATACCAGTCATCTTCATCCACTTTAAGCTTTTCTAACAAGCACCTTCATGCTCTCTCACTGGCCACCTTCCACACGGAACGAGCGCCTCATCCACATCTGCAAAGCCACCTCATCCTCCTTCAAACTCACTTCTGCTGCAATGCCTACAAAATAAAACTCTACAGTTATTGTGCAGCTGCTGGGCAGAGACCCCTGCTTATGCTGACCAGTAAAGTCCGCTAACTTTTGCTCCCCTAGTCGGTTTGTTGTATCCATCTGTTGTCTTATACGCTGATTGCAAGCTTTCTGGGGCAGGAACCATCTTTTTGTTCTGTGTTTATACAGCACCTAGCACGATGGGGCCCAAACCAGTACCTTGCTATAAATTGTAATGGTGTAAGGCCGTGGAGAAAGAGGCTATTGTCAAAGCCATCATTAGTGATTTTTTTTTTCTGTCAAACTCATTATTCCTTTAACAACCTAAAAATCCAATCACACAAGGCTGAAAACTAACTCTGTTACCCCCTTTAACAAAACCTGCACTGATTTCTCTGTTTTCTTTTACCAAACTGATACAAAGCACCTTCCGATCATCAGACTAGGGAACTGATTGTAAAACAGAGCTTGGAGCTCTGCTGTGTTTTGCTCTTTGGATAAGAGTGGATGTCGAATGAACGCTGTTACAAAGGCGTGATACGGGAATACTGTGTCACCTATTAGTTGGTCAGATGGGCTCCAGTCTCCTGTTGCCGTTCGTTGGTATGGCTGTGATGATGGAAACACCATTGTGGCATTTTTCAACAGTCCGCAAAGCTGGAGTTTGGGGGTTTTTTTTGGTGCCTAACTATCAATAGATCTTCTGTCATTTCATCCCTGATGTAACTTTTGTCTTCAGTGGAGTTAAGCCATGGATGAAATTAATCTATGATTATTACTGTAAAACTTAAAGAACAAGTCCCCATAAATGGAGAAGGTCTGATCTGCTCTTCTTAAAGAAGCATTTTTTCCCTGATTTGTTCTTTAACCCTGAACATTTCATAGGAGCTGCATCAATAGATCGTAGGGCTGCATTCTCATTTCATTTCCACTCTTGGCCCCCAACCTTGCCTGCTGCAAGTGTTCAGAACCAGGAAACTAAGCTGATCTTCAATGGGTGGGAATGAGAGGGGGTTGCTCCTACTAATTACTAGTAGAATGGGAATGAAAACTATTTTATGGGACAGTCAGGCTTCAGAATGTAAGAGGTCTGTTAACTTCCTTAATCCCTCCAAACATCAGGCTGGTCAGGAACTTCTCTTTCCTCGAATGTTTAATGAGCTGGAGAAGCCTCAGCCAAGTGTCTGAAACAGCCGTTTGTAGCTACTTGCTGTTCAGTGATCAGAATAGATTGCTCGGTCAGTCAGAGTTAAGAGTGTAGTATTTGTTATGGAAATAAATTCCCCAGTGGAGAAGTGCTGAGCAGCTTTTAAATCCACCACCAAAAAATCCATCCGGTAATAGAAACGAAGCAGTTTGCATGGGGCAGTACTATGTTTGTCTCATGCAGCTGTCCGCAAGTTGTTAATATTGCAATTATCCTTCATTGCAGATTCTTCCAGGACGTGGTTCCAGCCATCAGGAAGTGGAGGGAAGCAGGAATGAAAGTGTATATCTATTCTTCAGGGAGCGTGGAGGCCCAGAAGCTTCTATTTGGATACTCAACAGAAGGTGATATTCTAGAGGTAGATAAGATTATAGCCTTCTTTACACCTTCTCCATCTACAAAATGGGGATGGTAGCTACCTTCCCGGAGCTGGGGTGAGGATACACTGGTTCGTGCTGGCGATGTGCTAACCATTAATATTCTTTGATGCTATAATAAGTTACAGAAAAATTAGAAGTGTAGGATGGGCGAAGAGAAAGTGGCTTTAGCTGCAGTTGTCAAGTCTGCTACAATTTCAGAGACTGCATTCCCATATTTGCTTTTTCAGTTGATACTGTGCACGGATATCAGCAAGAGCCTTTCCAGTGTGACGGTGTCAACACAACAGAAAGATCTCTTTCCTCTGCCCCCCTCTTAAAAAGAGAGAGAATCCCCCCTAATTAAGCCACCTCTCCAGAAGAGCCGGATACTCAGACAGACTCACTGAAAGCCAACCCCTAGGCACTGTGCAAAGCCTGTTTCCACATCAACACAGCTTGTAAATGGATGTCTTTAGCCATTTTTAAGGAAAGGTGCTGAGAAAGCTACACAACTAATGGGGCCACCCTGCTCTGGATGCTCTGTCTATTTGTTGTATCATTGAAAATGGCATGTATTCTCTGGCTTTCCCGTGATCAGAGCCTTGTTTGTTAAATTCCCCTCACTGCATTGGTAGGAACTCGGGATACTGATTAGGGTTCTGTAGTTCATTACCTGGGTTCTAGAATTAGTATCCTCCTAAAAAAGCAATGCTCTCTTCCATCTTTCAGCTCTTCGATGGCCACTTCGATACCAAAATAGGTCACAAGGTAGAGAGTGAGAGTTACAGGAGGATTGCGTCAAGCATCGGGTGTTCAACTAACAACGTTCTCTTCCTGACAGATGTCACTCGAGGTAGGAGGTCTGACTGGCTTTCCTGCTTTTCCCCACATTGCAGCCGAGGAGGGATGTGCTCTCTAACTGTACAGTGTTAAGCACTTACCACTGCCAGGGTTGGAATGTCTGCATGTCCGTTGCACTGCTCCTTTCTTAAACTTTCATCCCATCACGTAGCCTCGCTTGGTGTGTGGACTAGGGCAAGCATTTAACCTGGGGCTTGTCTACATGAACGTTTGGTTTGTGGCAAGCTGGGGTGTAAAGGGAGTAGATCAAAGTAGGCTAGGGAACTGTTGGTGCGCAGCAGCAGGGTCCACATGGACGCTTACTGGGGAGTAGATTTACACCTCAGCTTGCCACAAACTAGGTGTTCGTGTAGACAAACCCAGTCTATCACCTGGAGCCTAGCGCAGGCCACTAAAACTGGGTGCAAAGTAGTAAATCTGTGTCTATGTGCAATTGGTCAGTGTCTACAGGTGCTCAGCGTAAAACTAAGAATGAGGGTTACTGTATGCTGCTGTTACAAGCACCCTCTTCAGAAGACCCGATTCTCTGCTCTACACCATAGGCAATCATTTACATCTGTGCAAAGTGGGCGAGACCTCACCCATTGTGAGGTAGTAGAAAGTCAGGTCCAGAGAGCTTTTTTCCCCAGACCTTTTTCTTTACATAAATATAGCATAGTTTCTAATGTTATACCAGTGTAACTCCCAAGTAACTTGGTTCAGAACATATCCCTCAGTGTTACTCAAATGTAGCCCCAGATTAGGCCTCTAAGCAATGTATTCATTGTGGAACAAATGAGTAAATTTATTTGTCAGTATATCTATATTCCTTAATAAAGAAATGGAAACTTTATACTGGAAAACAAGCGGTGGAGGACAAGACAGAAATCCCAAAGGGAAACTTAACCCTAACATTAAGTAGTCTGATTTTGCACTCCCCATTTCCCCAGCATTTGAGTTCGAGTTATCAATAAACTGAACTCCCACCTCATTTTTCTACCAGACTGCCACAGGGGAGAATATTATGGAGGAATCTGGAATTAGGATGCTCTCCAGCTCCCCTTGCAGGAATTTACTTTCCTGCTGCTCTGGCTGAAGCCAAACTGGCCTGTGTTCTGGGCCAGTTTTTCCTTTAGAAACTTCCCCCCCCATGTGAGAACACAACTACATTCAAATATATTGATGAGACAATGTTCCCTTGCCTCCTACAGTACCCTAGAGTTCTGCTCTTTTCACAGTAAGGCAACAGAGAACTATTAAAAAGAGAAAATCCTGGTAAGACATAGGAGGTATTTGTCTCACTCGACTCAGCACTGGTGAGGCTCAGATGGAGTAATGTTTCCAAGTCTGGGTGCCACACTTCAGGAAAGATGTGGATAAATTGGAGCGAATCAGAGAAGAGCAACAAAAATGAAAAGAGGCATAGAAAATCTGACTTATGAAGAAAGGTTAAGAAAACTGGTCACAATTTAGTCTTGAGAAAATTAGACTGAGGGGGGACCTGATAAGTCCTCAAATGCGTTAAGGACTGTTACAAAGAGGACTAGGATTACTTGTTTTCCCTGTCCAGCAAAGGAAGGACAAAAAGTAATGGGTTTAATCTGCAGCAAGGGAGGTTTAGGGGAGATATTAGGAAAACTAACTATCAGGGTAGTTGAGCTCTGGGACAGGCTTCCAAGGGAGGTTGTGGAATCCCCCTCATTGGAGGTTTTTTGGAACAGGTAGAACGAACCTATCAGAGAGGGTCTAGGTTTACTTGCCCCTGCCTCAGCAGAGGGGGCTAGATTTGATGACTTTGAGGTCCCTGCCAGCCCTACACTTCTATAAAGTGTATGGAGACCCAGTTTGATTCCAGCCTCCAGTCCCCTCATGCATTCTAAGATGCCTTCCAAAACTGGGGAGGCAGAGGGGTTGGAGGAGGCACATGTTGCCTTGCCCACCAATGTGAAACACCAAACTAACTGCATTTGCCTTCTTGTTTCCTAAACTCTGGTCTTTCCACAGAGGCAAATGCTGCAGAAGAAGCAGACATGCACGTGGCTGTGGTCCTGAGGCCAGGTAATGCAGGGCTAACAGATGATGAGAAGTCATATTACAGTCTCATCACGTCTTTCAATGAACTGTTCCTGCCTTCCTCCACTTAGGAGAACTTGTGCACATGCACAAAAGACCAAACTACACCCGCTGGAATTGTCCTTGTGTCATCTTTAATTATGTTGGTAATGAGAATTTTAGAAGATATGTACAGGATCCATGACCGTCTGCAGAAATTGATTTAAGTATTTTGGAGGGGATTTTTAATGCAGGGAAATTGAGGCCTGTCAAAGTCTGTTGGAGTTGTGAGTGGTGCGAGAAGCAGCATCTATGAAGCCTGTGTTTGAATAGCTTTCCTATCAGGGAATTTATTACTATAGGTTGACTGTTCTGCCAGCCAACCACCGGGTAATCTAGTTATGACTTTTGTCACTTAAAAACATTTGTCACTTAAAAACAAACTATTCTGTGAACAAAGAATTTCTCACACTCCCACAGACTTGACTCTTACAAGGAAATATGAACGTCCCCCTTCCAATAAGATCTGTAGCTCTCACGCTGGAAGTTAAATTAAGCGAAATTACTGTCTTAAGAGGTTAAGCTCTATATGTTCAGGATAGCCAAAGGTAAATGTCACATGTGGACCCATGAAGTTTGGAGGCTGCAGTTAGATCCGCCAAAGAGGAGGTTTAAATGTAAACCCGCTTGTGATATTGGGCTAGGTACTGCAGGACCTGCTGCATGCTAGAGCCAGATTTCCATTTATTTCAGAAACGTAGCCCTCTTAGCAATAATCCTGAAACTTTCCTTAAGCAGCCAAGAAATGGTTTCACTAACTTGTAACTCAGCTCAGCTCTAAATAGACATTAGAAAAGATAGTTCGTGGCTTTGGCACTACCTGCTGCACTTGATATCAATGAATGATTACAAAAATACAAACCATGTAACAGCACCACTTAACCTATGCCACTTTATACTATGTGGTAAATAAAAGTACAATTGTCTTCTGCCTAAAATTCCAGTATTTGCATTATCCCACCAGTGGCCAGCCTCTAGCATTGGTGGAAGGGTTTTCTTACCTGTAACCTGCTAGCTTTCCTTCAGTACTTCCACGCCCTTCCCCATTGTTTCCTGCAGGCCATGTGAGCCTTCTCTTGGAGAGGAATTGGTGTGACACTCAAAACCTTCCTCTGCTTTCAGTGGTAGTTCTACACATAGTAGGAGAGCAGGAGCAGCAAGTTGGCTACCTGTTGTTAACAGCAGTCAACACAGGGCCTAAGGGTCTAATTCATCACTGCCTTGCACTTGTTGTAGGTCCCTTGCACCTGTGGGTATAAAGCACTATCCAATCAGAATGGTAGTGTTTACAGCTGTGAAGAATGGGTGTAAAATAGCTTAGAGTGTGAGGCAGTGAAGAATGGCCTACAGGGAATCCTTTAACTCAAGGAACATCAAGTATTCCAGTAAAATGTACACAAACCCCAGCCTCTCTTGCTTGTGCAGAAAAGGTAGCGATGGATGCTACTGCATATTTGGACATGTGCTTGTCTTTGTCCCTCACCGTGCATGTTTTACCGGCACAACCGGACTGCTTCCGTTTTTTTGGCTAATGGTTTGAAACATGTCAAGTTTTACAACTTTATCTACTTAAACATGGTATGACAAAAGGACCCAGAAATCCTTACTTCTGCCTAGGTCGTCCTAACAGCCCATGCAACCAAATTCATGAGCAGAACAGGAAGGAAGGAAGGAATTTTTTTCATAGCGTATCTGTATAATTCACAGATTCCACCTTGTCCAGGATCCTTTCTGCCTGACTGGGATCGAAGAACGTGTCTCCACCTAGCCTGTGTGGGGGCTGCCCCCTGCAGGGGAGAGAGAGAGACAATTCTAATACCATGAGCCACAGCAGTGGAGGTTTAGTCTTCCCAGTGGTGGGGGTATTTGATTCTACCAGGATGTGCCCCCTACAGGGAAGGGAAAAGGTGCCATGTTCTGCCATCAGAGAAGTACAGAAAGCAGCTATTCACTCTCTACTGCCTCTCATGGGGACCCACTGAGCCAAAGCAGCTCCTGGAAAGAATAGGTACCTGGAGGTGGAACGGACTTGCTCTTTCCCCAGAATGTACCAGATAGAGATCAGTTCCTGGAGTCTTCTAAGCATTCATGGGTGCGTAGAAGACAGCCTTCCTTCCCTGTGAGACGCATTCATCAGCAAAGAAACCAAGGGGAAGCTGTGTAGGGTCAGGTTATGATTGGAGGGGAGAGGTGTGAACTTATCGCCCTGATAGTACTGTTACTACAGCCTCTGATGCCAGGAGGGGGAGGGAAAGTGAAGATCCTAGGGTCGCATGTTGGGATGAGAAGGTGCATTTCACCAGCTTTCGTACCAGTATTTCCCATGTTTAACTCTAGGAAGCGTTTGTGTGTAGATTACGATGCTCCTTCTAATCCAACCCCTGATTATTTTTAAATCTCGTTTTTAAGTTAATCATGATTTTTAAATGTGTGGGTTTGGCAATACTGTGCCTGAGAACTAGAAAGTAAAACAGGCTCACCTGTTCTACTACCCAAATGTGGGCCCTGAGCCTGCATTCAGTTGGGTACAGAGGGCCCATTATGTCCAGGTAAGAGGATTTCCACAGGCTCTGCGCTAACAGAGCCAATAGCAGGACTGGGCCTTAAACAGAATGCCAAGATTAAGTCAACGTTATAAATGCTCAAGTACATTTGTAAAGTGCTGTGGCAGGTCAGTGGTGCTAGTAACACAGAGATGGTCTCTGCAAAAAAATAAAATGCATCTTGACATCACATCCCTTTTAAACGGGGATGGCAGGTCCTTAGGGAAGTAGCTGCCCCGTTTTAAGAGAGAGACCCAGCTAATCTGAATACAGCTGTGGCCCACTACTTAGAGTGATCTTCGCCCTAAACCAAGCACACTGCAGAAATGTACCAGATTCACAATCCTTACTGCTACAGCCGTATCTGCATGACTGACTGGGCATTGGATTTAGGTAAAGTTGATGTGTACCATTGTATTTCAATGCAAAGTGAGTATCTGCTCACATCTTGTTCCATTTGTCATAATGAAACTGTGTATATGGGGGGGGGGGGAAATAAAACTCATTCTTTCCATAAAAGTTTATTCAGTGGTCATGTTTCAGTGTACATTAGTTATTGTTCAGCTGCACTGAAATGTACCATTAGAAATACTTTAAGAAATGTACAGTACATCACCAAAAGCCTGAAACTCAGCTTGGATTGCATATTGTTAGTGGAAAAAATTCACAAACTTCATTTTTTTTCTTTGATAAAATTTCAAAATATAAAATGATAAAACAAAAGCATTATTTGATTTTTAAAAAGTCACAGTGGCCTATTTACAGTAAACACTTTTTAAACAAAAGCTTACTACTCTCTGCTCAATATGCACATGTGTGAGATTCTCCATTTATGTGTGTTCCTACCAGTCTCACCTTCCCCTGGCAGTGAAGAAAAGAAAAAGATATGTGGATTGGCTTTGTTATTTTGAGTCTTCTGCTAATGGGTGGTAAACCCACCACTACTTCATTTTAATGACCAACACCCACATGTTCCCTTCGCTGGAAGTGTCCCACTAACTTTTTCTTATTCTTAGATAATTACTAACGGCCCAAATTCTGCAGCCAGATGTAGACTCTCCATTCAGTGGAGTTACTCTGGAATTACACCAGGGTAACCAAGTCTAGAATTTGCCTCAAAATAATTGATTTCATAGGGCTGGTTGAAAATTTTCCATCAAAACTGTTTTTCAGTGGAAAATTGGGTTTTTTGTCAAAATGAAATTGTTCACTGAGCGTGTCCTTCCTGCAGAAAATCTAGACTTTTCCCTCAAAAAACTAAACTCCCCAAAACCAAACCATTTTGATTTGGAAATGTTGGATTTTCAACCTGCTCTATAATTTGAGCTGTATTTATTTTACATTATGAAAAGTCTCCTAGTTTTGGCCATTGAACCAAGATCATTGGTAGTTTAGCTCCGTCCCCTTTATGAATGGAATGAAAGCTCATCTGAGTTCTGCTGGGGTTTTTGTCTAGCCAGCTCTGCCTGTAGCTATTTCTTTACTATCCTGAACTTTTAAGGTGAATTCAGCCCCATGCAGAGGGCCAGAGCTAGGCCAGTCCACCATTTAAGTCACACTTAAGCCTGAGGACCCTGATCCTTCAATGAAGTTTGTAAAGGTGGATTCCAGCTGCCATTAGCTTCAAGGGGGCTCTGCAGGGATCCAACCAATCAGAGTCCATTGCTGAATTAGGCACATAAGTAGGTAAGTTGAGGCAAAGGCCTCTGCAAAGGGTGAATTTCACCATTAGTGTATAAGCAGTAAAATAAACCTACATCCAGTAAAATCTGCCTGAATTTATGATGTTCTGATCATACATGAGCCAAAATCTTCACTCAGACTAAGTTCAGACAAGGTTCTCCTTGTCAGTGAGAAATAGTGAGAAAAGCAGCTTTCTAAATATTATACACAGTATTTTATGGAAGCACTACAAATAAAAAAAACACCCTCTTGGTCCCTGCTGGGCAGAAGAAAGTTCACATTTTGACCTAGTGCTGTTTGTTCACGTGGGTCACAGCTGCTCAGACCATACCACATTGAGATGTAGCCCAGCCCCACCCATGCTGCGTTGGGATACGTTTTCTAAATTCGCTTTGGTGCAGGTGGGCTGCCTCAGTCCCACAACAAGGTGGGCATCTGCTGCTGAACACTGTCTGCTTCATTGTCTTTTTAGTTGTCTAGTTTTTCCCAAACCAGGCCTCACCTTTACCGGTTTGCCTATTCTTAAGCAAGGGCCAGTATGTTTGTGCTCTCTTCTTCCACTGATTGATTCTAAGTCCAGTTGCCATGAAACCAGCTGGTAATTCTTCCTCACTTCACAATCAAGTTACCCTTGTCCAACAACAAGGCAATAAAAACCAGTTGAAACCTGAGACAAGTGCAGTCTAGTGGTCTGATTGCAGGAGTAGGAGCCAGCAACGCCTGACTACTAACCCTGACTGACCTGTCACCCTGGAGAAGTCATCTCCCCAGCCGTATAATGGGGATAATACGACCTACCTGACAGTGGCCTTGTGAGGATTAGGATATTTCTAAGATGAATGGGACAGGGGTTAAGGAGAGAGACCTCTCTAGCACAAACTTAGTAATCGGTCTTTCTTTACAAATACATTGGTGTTTTCAGATTTGGTCAGAAAGATCCTTGCGTTTTTGCTCTGCTCTTAAACAGCTGCCCTCAGAGCCCTTTGGCAATACGTCTGTGACTGTACATAGAAAATGAACTTGTCAAAAAAAAATGTAATGAGGTCATGGGTTAAATCTTGTGACCATTCAAGCCCACCTGCCATGTAACGAGGGCAGGGTTACACCTGATCTGTTTGATACTCGGATGCTTCAGACGGGCTTTCGGAAAAGCTCAGAAAGTTTTCCTGGTACTCAGAACAAATGATCTCAAATCTGTAGTGTCTGAACTCCACGGCGAAGGTGCCAAAGTAGCAGAGGAAGCACATCACCAAGCCCCACTGAATCCTGGCTGCGTGCATATGGATCCCCTGTGCCATCAGGATAAAGTCTGGAGAAGAGCTGTCAAGGAGAACATGTCTGAGCAGCCTTAGTCCTGGATGAGAGCAGATAGAGCCGCTGTGGGTTGTTTTTCAAATCTGTGAGGTGATAACATCTTGCCTTCCTTTTACACTTAAATATAATCCCCTGGACAGTGGCAACCAACATGCAATTAAAAATGGTATTTAATAGAAAATTAGGGACAGGGTGAATGTCAACAATCTAATTCAGCAGGAAACTGGACAAACCAGGGACATTTGCAAGCCTGTCACATGTGGCAACACTTTCATGGGGCTAATGAATGTGCTTCTATTTCCACAAAATTGTGCTTAGCTCTTGCACCACACTGTTCAACTGTACATCTCAAAGCATTTGACAAAGAAGGGGAAATATCATTCCCATGATGAAAAGGGCACAGAGAGGTGAAGTGACTTGCTCAAGGCCAAACAGCCACGCAGTGGCAGAGCTGAGAACAGAACCCAGTTTTGTGTCCTAGTTCCGTGCCCTAGCCGCAGACCATGCTGCCTCTCAGTGAGAGCAGGCTCAGTCCCATTCTGGGCTAAGGTTAAACCCACTTATTACTCCTACCACCCTTTCCAGATCCTCTGCAAAACCAACCTTTTTTGGGAAGCCTAGAAACACTGACCTACAACAGTAAAAATACCATCACTCGCCCAATATACTGAAGAAGAAACACCACAGTTTGAGATCAAACCTTCCTCCGAGTCTCCTAAGGCTTTTTCCGTTGATTGCCTATTTGGACTCAACGCCTTAGGACAGGGACTGTGTCTTTGTATCTCATGCTGTGCTGAGCACGCTGCTGGCATTTAACCAACACTGACCTCATGCTCCACTGTTACTCTTTTGTCTTATCTACAGTATTAAAACGACCATGCTGGGGACCCGGTTCCAACACAAACTTCCCTAACTGGTTAAAACACTTGGACTGCAGGAAGGAGCGGAGTCTTGTTTTAACCATGTTCCAGCCCTGCAAAGTCCAAGACCTGACCAAGCTGGGGGACCTCCACACTGTAACTGGGTCCCTCAACAGTGTAGATGTGACCTTTGACTTTGTTATAGGACCTGCTTATCTGCCTACCTTTTCTAGAAGATTGTTGTTTAACCTGCACCCTGAGAGGAAAGGGTCACACACATTTACAGCTAAGAAAACGAACAGCCTCCCACATAGCTTCATGCTCAGGGTTGGATTTATCACAAAACAGGCCATTAGAATCTGCTCCTTTGGGCCATATACAGCCATAGCGAAAGCAGTCCCAGTCCCCATTGCAGTGAATGGGTGTTGTGACCTTATGGCTGAATTTGGCTCTAACGGTCTCCTATTTCCTCCACATTTTCAGGGTTGTTCTCAGGTTGTGCCCAAGGGTGAAATTCACCCCATGCAAAGGGTCAGCTCAAGGGTTCTACCTCACGTAAGGCCTATTTGGAGAATTTCTATGGGACTTCAGTGTTAGATAGGCCTGGTGTTGTGGCCCTCTGCACAGGGTGAATATCACGTGTGGTGAAGTAACCAGACACCAGGGCACTGAGATGATAGGATTTTGCTGGTAACATTCAGCACGTTAGTTTGTGAGCTTCTTTAGAGATAAAGAGAAGGACTGAACACTGGCTCACTGGATTTCCAGCTACAGCAACCTTTCCTAAACTTCTCAAGATGATGTACTTTTTCCAGACCCAACTTGCTGCAGCTCTTTGTGCAGAATCTTACACCAACCTTTCTGGAACGGAAGTTGCTGGCAAAGAAAAGCATGCAAGGGTACAGACCTGGCAAATTATTTGTGATACATAAAGCAAAATCATGAGATAAACCTCTCTGGAAACAACAAACTTTTGTAGCTAGAAACGGGGGAGGACTCTATATGTTTACATCAGACTGGTGTATTTCCTGACATCTGGTGAAATTTTCAAAAGTGCCTAAGTCACTTGGGAGCATAAATCCCATTCTGAAAATGGGAATTAGGTGCTTTTTGAAACTTTTACCCAAATAAACCTTCAAAACACTTCTGATCTTAAGAAGCTTGGCTCCTTTTGTTTTCCCAAGATTTTCTCCTAAAACATTTCATGGCCCTACACAAGAGTTGCCAATATGCCCAATGGTGTAATAGCAATTTAGTCATATTGCTTTATTAATTGGGATTCAGGTATTGTTCTATGGTATAATAACCTCTGAAATGATATAGAAGGAGTTTTAAACCCACTGCTGACAACCACAGTGAATGATGAGAATTTAAACGTTTGTGTAAAGAGACCTCATGGAAACTTTCAGAAGTGATAGCTTTTCTTGGCTCTGTTTCTTGACAGGAATGTGATGACAAAAGGCAATTCTCTCCTGTTACATCCACTACTATAGTGAGAGATAAATAACAGTTCTATAAAGTGCCCATCACAATGCATCTGATGCTGAACTAAGTTAAAATAGAGCTGGGCCCCATGTCCATTAACAACAACACTACTTAGCATTTCTACAGCATTTTCCAGCTAGAGGTCTCAATGGGGGGTAAGCATTGTTCTCTTCCTTCGAACA